AGAGGCCCAGATTCCTTTTATTGGTGAATGGTTTTAGAAACTAAGATCTAGGTGCTGGGTGTGCTCCTTGTTACTGGAGTGCCACTGCTTCTAGGCCCTCTCAGCTGACAGTGTTAGAATATATATTTATATGTGTTTACCCATGTATGCATATCTATAATTATTTCTGTATCCATCCATATCTATATTAAGCTAAACAGGAATTCATGTTGACATCTCTGACTCTAATCCAGTACCACAGGTATCACTTTTGCCTGTTCTCTGGCTTATGTGTAACTTCCCTCTCCAACACTGAGAAACCTGGCATTCACAGTCTACCATCCATTTACTTATTATATCAACTCCAGGCTACATGTATATCTATTTCAGAATTTCTATCCACATATTCCCATGAGAAACAAATTTACCAGCTAGGGTACATTGCTTATGTACAGTTTTTGTCTTTACTTTTATAGTTCTCAGTCATTTCAGAAGTTACTTAAGTCATGTCCTTTAGTCCCCATCTCCCTTAGTGAGGTTATGTCATACATTTGTAATACAGTTAGAATCTTTTTTCACAGCTTGCATTCTATAGGATCTAAGATCCTCAACCTCCTGATTGGAGTTTTTTTAAATTCTAATTTATTAAGGTTCAATATTTATATTGTAAAGTTGTTGATTTTGAAAAATGCATAGTGTTGTTTTCAAAGGACAGTATGATACAGATTAGTTCCATCAGCCTAAAAAATCTTCTATGCCTCCCCTAGTCAAATGCCTTCCCCTCCCCAAACTACTGGCAACCCCTGATCTGTTTCCCATCCATATAATCTTGTCTTTCTAGAATGTTATATGAATGGAATCATGTAATATGTAGGCTTTTCTTTCATTTAACAAAATGCACTTAAGATTCATCCATACTGTTGTGTAAATTAATAGATCATTCCTTTATATTTTTGGATAGTATCCTATTGTATGAGTGTATCACAGTTTATTTATCCATTTACCTGTTGAAGAACATCTTGATTGCTTTGAATTTTTGAAGATTATGCATAAAGCAGCTGTAAACATTTTCATGCAAGTTTTTGTGTAGATTAAGCTTCTCTTGTTTTGTTGAGATAAAATTCACCTAACATAAAATTCACCATTTTAACCATTTTAAAGTGTATAATTCAGTAGTTTTAAGTATATTTACAATGTTGTGCAATCATCACAACTATCTAATTCCAGAACATTTCTATCATCCCAAAAGAAAGGTGGGGTCCATTGAGCAATTACTCCCTATTTCTCTCTTCCCCAACCCTGCCATGCACTAATCTATTTTGTCTCTATGGATTTGCATATTCTGGATGTTTCATATGAATAGAATCATACAATAGGTGGCCTTTTGTGTTTGGCTTCTTTCACTTAGCATAATGTTTTCAAGGTTCACACATGTTGTACCATCTATCAGTACTTTATTCCTTTTTACGGCTGAATAACATTCCATTGTATATATATATATACCACATGTTTATCCATTAATCTGCTGATGGACATTTGGATTGTTTCCACTTTTTGGCTATTATGAATAATGCTGCTATGAAAATTCATGTACAAGATTTTATGTGAATATGTTTTCAGTTTTCTTGGGTTTATGCCTAGGAGTAGAATTGCTGGATCATATGGTAAAATGACATCTAAATTTACAAGGAACTGCCAAAGTTTTCCACAGCAGCTGGACCATTTTACTTTCTAACCATTAATGCATGAGGGTTCCAGTTTCTCCACATCCTTGCCAACATTCATTGTTTTTCATTGTTTTGATTATAGTTATCCTAGTGAATGTCAAATGGTATCTTGTGGTTTTGATTTGCATTTTCCTAATGACTAATGGCATTGAGCATATTTTATGTGCTTATTACTCATTTGTATATCTTCTTTGGAGAAATGACTATTCAGATCCTTTGCCTGTTTTTTTAAATTGGGTTGTCTTTTTGTTGCTGAGTTGTAAGAGTCCTTTATTTATTCTGTATACTAGACCCTTGTCAGATATATTATTTTCAAATATTTTCACCCATTATGTGGGTTATCATTTCACTCTTTTGATAGTGTCCTTTTATCCACAAAAGTTTTTAATTTTGATGAAATCCAATTTATCTATTTTTTCTTTTGTCGCTTGTGCTTTTGGTGCCATATTTAAGACGCTGTTGCCTAACTTAAGGTCTTGGAGATTTATTCATATGCTTCCTTTTAAGAATTCTACAGTTTTAGGTCTTACATTTAGGTCTTTGATCCACCTGGAATTAATTTCTCTATATGGTGTGTGTAGGCGTTCAAATTCATTCTTCTGCATGTGGATATCCTATTATCCCAGCACCATTTGTTGAAAAGATAATTCTTTCCCCATTGATTGGTCTTGGAGCTCTTGTCAAAAATCAATTGACCATGGACACATGGGTTTATATCTGGACCCTGAATTATGTTCCATTGATCTGCACGTCTATCCTTATGCCCATATCATACTATTTTGATTAGTGTAGCTGTGGCGAAATCAGGCACTGTGCATCTTCTTATTTTGTTCTTTTTCAAGATTGTTTTTACTATTTGGCATCTCTTGAAATTCCATATGAATTTTAGGATCAGCTTGTCCATTTCTGCAAAGAAGGCAGCTAAGACTTTTAATCATTGAATCTGTAGATCATTTTGGGAGTATTGACATTTTAACAATATTAAGTTTTCTACTCCATAAACATTGAGTATCTTTCCATTTATTTTGGTCTTCTTTAATTTCCTTCAACAATGTTTTATAGCTTTCATTGTACAATTTTTGCACTTATTTGGCTAAATTTATTCCTAAGAATTTTTTCTTTTTCATGGAAAATGGAATTTTTTTTTTTAAAGATTTTATTTTTTTCCTTTTTCTCCCCAAAGCCCCCCAGTACATAGTTGTATATTCTTCGTTGTGGGTCCTTCTAGTTGTGGCATGTGGGACGCTGCCTCAGCATGGTCTGACGAGCAGTGCCATGTCCGCGCCCAGGATTCGAACCGACGAAACACTGGGCCGCCTGCAGCGGAGCGCGCGAACTTAACCACTCGGCCACGGGGCCAGCCCCGGAAAATGGAATTTTTTTAAATATCATTTTGGATTATTCATTGTTAGTATGAAGAAATACAACTGATTTTTGAATATTGATCTTGTATCCTGTAACTTTGCTGAACTCGTTTATTAGCTTTAATAGTTTGTGTGTGTTTATTCTTTAAGGCTTTCGAGATACAAGATCATGTCATCATGAATAGAGATAGTTTTACTTGTGCCTTTTAAATCTGCATGGCTTTTATTTATTTATTTATTTATTTATCTTCTAAATTTCCTTGGCTAAAGCTTCCAGTACAGTGTTGAATAGAAGTGGCAAGAATGGACATTCTTGTCTTGTTCCTGATCTTAGGGAGAAAGCTTTCAGTCTTTTACTGTTAAGTATGGTGTCAGCTGTGCATTTTTGCATAGATGCCCTTAAGCTGGTTGAGGAAGTTCCCTTCTTTTCCTAGTTTGTTGAGTGGTTTTTGTATATTCTTTTAATTGTGAAAGGGTGTTAGATTTTGTCAAAGCTTTTTCTGCATCTGTTGAGATGATCAAGTGTCTTTTTTTCCCCTTCATTCTATTAATAAGGTGTATTAGATTGATATTTTTGTGTTGAATCATCCTGCATTCCTGGTATAAATCCATTTAGCCATGGTATATAATACTTTCAATATGCTGCTGGAATCAGTTTACTCGTGTTTTGTTGAGGATTTTGTCATCTGTATTGATAGGAGATATTAGCTAGTCTTCATATTATTTTGGTGGCATCTTTTGTCTAGCTTTGATATTAGGGTAATATTGGCCTCATAAAATAAATTAGGAAGTGTTTCCTCTTCTTATATTTTCTTTGAGTCATTCGTCCATCAAGCCACTAGACAGGTCAAAACAACTACCCACAGTTCTTTGTGGATGAGGTTTGTTCTGCTCCCTCTAGTACCTAGGCTGCAAATAGGAGCCATTATCTTCAAGGCCACTGCTGAACTGGGGAGCGTAGAATGGGACCAGTTAAAATGCCACAAAGTTAAATGCCACAAAGCTTGCTGTTCTTACTAAGATTCAGCTACTTTTCTTTGATTAAGCATTCCACTGGTTGCTGCAAGCTTTTGGTTAATTTCCAAAATTTCAAAAATGTTGATTCTAGAATTCAAAAGCAGTTTTTGTGGGGCCACCTCATGGCGGAGTGGTTAAGTTCATGTGCTCCACTTCAGTGACCCAGGGTTTTGCTGGTTTGGATCCTGGGTGCAGACATGGCACCGCTCATCAGGCCATGCTGAGGTGGCATCCCACATAGCACAACCAGGAGGATCTACAACTAGAATATACAACTGTGTACTGGGGGTGCTTTGGGGAGAAGAAGAAGGCAAAAAAAAAAAAAAAGGAGAGTGGCAACAGATGTTAGCTCAGGTGCCAATATTTAAAAAAAAAAGTTTTTGCTAGAATTGCTTTGGTTGCTTTTTGGAGGGGGGACTTTTGGAGTTCCTTACTCTGCCATTTTCTCTGCCATTTTCAAGTCTCTTAATTTATAACAGTCTCCTTTGTTTTTCCCCCATGTCATTTGCTTGTTGTTGAAGAAACAGGGTCATTTGTCATGTAGAATTTCCTATAGTCTGGATTTTGATAATTACATGATAGTAATGTCATTCAATGATTCATTTCTCTGCTGTAATTTCTATAAACTGGAGGTTATAGCTAAAGACTGTATTAGATTCAGTTTCAGTTTTCTGACAAGAATCCATATATCTGGGGCTTTGTTCTTCTTATTTCAATACCTCAGGAGGCATGTGATGGCTTAATGTTTCACTGTTAATGATCAGTGGGTTCAGGTGTCATCAATCTGATTTATACATTATAAAGATCTCCATCTACCTTCCTCCTAATAGTGTAACATCTTTTACGTTTGGAATTCTAGGTCCTCTACAGAGTACTGTTCAGTAAATGTTCACAATTGTGCTTCTGCCCACAGGTTCTCTGGATAGAGGCCTCAGTTTGGAGGTTAAAAGTACAGCTCAAATGCCAGGGATGGAGGTGAGCCTCCAAGGAAATTGCACCTCTGAAGAGAAGTCGTAGTCTGAAGAGAAGCTTTAGCTTCCAGCTCCTTTCAGACATCTTCTGAACGGCTGTTTGGAGGAAAAGCTGGTAGTGCTGGATCAGTCAACAGACAAATAGGACAAAGCTGACTTAGAGGTCCTCAGAGCATTGGCACTGGCAAGATCAGAGAGATGGGGAATTACTTGTGCTGAAGCAATTCCAGACCCTCTTGAGCAAGGAATCTAAAATTCGTCTGAAAATAATGAAAACTCTGTGTCTCTGGAAGATTTAACCCAAATGAGGAGATAAGTATGACTTACAGAAAGCATACACTAATGGACTAGACTCAGAAGAAGGCAGTCGGCAAAGTGAAAGTAGGAAACATAATTTTTCCTTACCTTTCTTTAGGCATAGGGTCAATCCTAGGTAATTTTATTTTTTATTATTGCACAAGCTTTGTAACAGTAATGGAAAGGGGAAGAAATCAGCCAGAATCTCATTTCCATAACACATCAAGTGTATTTTCCATGTGTCCTTCCTGTCCTTGCCTATATAAATGCATACTTTTTACTCAGTTATAATTGTGGAGTAGAAACAATAATTGTTTCAGACTTTTCATTCTATCACAAGCATTTTATGCATTGGCTGTGTAGTTTTCATAATTACTTTGACAGTGGTGTGTTATTCCCTCAAGATGCCATTTTGATACTTTGTAAATTTTGTTTCTTTTTATGGGATATTTGCATTGTTTGGAATTTCTGATGTTTTCGTGATGCAGGACTCATCTTTTAGCGTGTGGTATTTTTCTGTTTTTGTTTTGTTTTGTTTTCTGCTAAGGAAGATTCACCCTGAGCTAACATCTCTGCCAATCTTCCTCTATTTTGTATGTGGGTTGCCACCACAGAATGGCTGCTGATGAGTGGTGTAGGTCCACGCCCAGGAACCAAACCCAGGCCGCCGGAGCAGAGTGTGCCAAACATAAATACTAGGCCACTGGGCTGGCCCCTGTTTTTTTTTTAAATGATTTCTTTATAAGTAATTGCTAACAGTACTATTACTGCAAAGAAATACTGAACAATTCTGTGATATGAGGGGCCAAATTGCTTTCCAAAGAGGTCATAACAATTTACACTGCTTGAGCACCTTAATGAAGTGGAGTTTCTCCTTAGTACTCTCATCTTCCTTTTTGTACCTATTTCTACCTCCTAGTGTTCCCCTGTCCAGGCAGCCTATGTCCTCATGATCCCCTTTCAGTTTCTGCCCATAAGAGCATCCAGATAACTGTTGCCTGCAACCCACTTTGATAACAGAGATAGGAATTCTTTTCTCTGAATCTTGGGAACTGGAAATTACATCTATCCTTTTGCTTTCTTTGATAGCTTTCTTTGTAGAGCAGGTAGGGGTCACATCTGTTGTTCTGGTGGGCTTATTGACCAGTAATTTGTCTTTGGACTCCATGTTCTTCTGACATCTCTATCTTCGTAGGATTCTCCCTCCCCTCACAATGGTGCACAAAGGAGAGAGTCTGGCTACCATGCTTCTGACTGCAAGGCACCAGGTAAGTAAGAGTTTGTTCCCAACAGAAATGACATTCAAGTGTTCACAGCATTAACAGGTTTTACTCTCTCACCTTGAAATTTATGTTCTCATATGAGAATTCTGAAATCAAATGTTATTTGGCTTATTGTGGTAAATGGTAGGTTCTGTAGAGAAAGCTCTCTCAACAGTACCATTCTTTAGTAATTAGCTCCTCAAGCCATGCATTTATTTATGCATCCAGTAAACATTTTATATTAGTTTCCTATTGCTGCATAACAAATTACCACAGATTTCGCAGCTGAAAACAACACCCATTTATTATCTCACATTTTTGTAGGTCAGAAGTCAGAGCAGGGCTCATCTAAGTTCTCTGTTGAGGTTTTCATATAAGCTGAAATCAGGGTGTCAGCTGAAGTCACGATCACATCTGAGGCTTGCAATCCTCTTTTAAATAAACTCACTTAGTTTGTTTGGCAGAATTCAGTTCCTTGTTTGTAGGACTAAAGTCCCATTTTCTTTCTGGTTGTTTTCTGGGCATTGTTCTCACAACTAGAGGCTGTCCTCAGGTCTTAGCCATGTGGCCCTTTCACCACATGGCAGCTTGCTTCTTCAAAGTCAGCAGGAGAATCTGTCCAGTCTGCTGCCATACAGTCTTATATAATGTAACCTAATGAAGGGAATGATTATCCAATTGTAGTCACGGGAGCTGCTCACACTCAAAGAGAAAAGATTATACAGAGTGAGTACAATGGGAGTAGAAAACTAGGAGACACCTAGAATTCTGCCTACCATACATTTATGGAAAACTTAGTAATTAATTCAAGCAGTGCTTATTAAGTATTCACTATGTGTTTTCTTGGGGATGCTAGAGAAGTAGGAAATAGAATTTCTACCTTCAAGGAGCTTGGCATCTGAGTGAGGAATTCAACATACAAGTAATACCATTGTAGCAGTCTTAGGTAGTAAATGACTAGTATTTTTGAAAGGAGTGGTACAGAAAAGAAGTGCTCTAGGAATTTTAAGATAGAAGGTATGGACTGCAAGGATCAGGAAAATTTCAAGTAAGAGGTGGAATCTATGTTGAGATGTGAAGGATGCATAGAATTTGAAAAATCTGGGAAGTATGATGGAGACTGTGGTTGTCTCCCAATATCCATATTCCTCTTCTCAGTAACAGAACCCCTAAATTTTAGCTAGCCACATGGCCAGAAAGAATAAATGCCATGCTTTTCCTGCTTCTTTTGCCCCTGTTTCATGTGACTAACTTCTAGTTGATGTATGCAAAAGTGTCAGGTGACAGCTTCTGGGAAACTTTCTGAAGAAATGGCTGATATGTGCCCTTCTTTTCCCTTCTGCCCTTCTGCAGCCATCTTGGATTATGAAGTCAAGTTCATACATGATGGACCAACAAGATAGAAGAGCCTGGGTCCCTGATGCTTTGGAATGCCATGGCAGCCCTCACCACCTACCTAGACTTTTTGTGTGGTCCCTGGTTAAGTCACTGTTATTTTGAGGTTTTGGTTAGTTATAACTGAACTGAGTCTTAATTAATGAAAGTATATTTCCAACAAAGTGAATAATACAATCAAATGCTAAGAAATGAGACTAGTTCAGCTGATAAATGAGAAGTTCAGCTGGTAGAAATAAAGCCGTTGTGCTAGAAAATAGAAGAAAATAAGACTAAATTATATGGTAGTCTAGATTGTGACAAAAGAAGCACCAATGGGCCAGCTGAGTAATTTGTAATTTATCTTGCATATAAACTAGAGCCAATGGAGTATTTTTTAAAAGAAATAGGCCATAGTGAATGTAATGTTTGAGAATGAAATTATAACCAAATGGATATATGAGGTAAAGGAAAGTGAAGAATTGAAAATGGTATGCTGGTATCCTTGAGAAATGGAGTCCTGAGGAAGAAGGGACATATTTAGGATTGAGTTAGTTCTGAAGATATTGCATTTGAGATGATAAGAACATGAAGTGAACATGGTTTATGGGTAACTGAAGATTCAGAACTAGAGCTTGAGGTGTCAGTTCTTTATTTAGAGGAACAGTGCTAATAGCTGAAACAAAAAGAATATAGAGAGAATTGCCATGCCCAAGGCCTGAGCTTTGAGAAATACTCCCATAAAAAGCATAAAAGGTAGAAGGTATCATGAAAGATCAGAGAGATAGAAGAGCCAGAATAAAAGGAAGGGGGATGTATGGACAAGGAGTGAGTTTCATGACATGAAGGATGTCATCAAATCCAGCAGAAAAACTGAAAAGAATGAGGACAAAGATAGTGGACAAAGATAGTGGGTTTAGGTGTAGCAAAGGGAGTAATTGTGATCTCAAAGGCTGAATCTCAGAAATAGCCTGGGAAAACTAAAGATTTGCAGTTCCACAAGGAAGGAATTTTTGAGTCTTCAAGAAAAGAAATCCTAGCAGGCTGTAGTGTATAGAAGGAGAGACTAAAGTATAATTGGGGCTTTTGCTAGTTGGTCCCAAGCTTATTTATGTGGTTAATGAGATCATTTACTCACAGTGAGGGTGGAGTGTGGAGGAGATTGAAGAAAAATCTGAATGATACCCATCAGAGAAGAGAATAACCTAGGGAGTCCATGTAATACAAATAGTAGTGTTGTCTAACAGCAGTGAGGGATATATTGAAGATGGTCTGAGAGAACTTTTATTTATTTATTTTTACCAAGTCAATATATCAATTGAGAATGCTTTTGGCTACAAATAACAGAACATTTAAAGTAATAGCTTAAACTATAGTCTACAGCAGAGTATGGCAAAGTAGGGCCTATAGGCCAAATCTGGCCTGTTTATGTAAATAAAATTTTAATGGAACACAGCCATGCCATTTGTTTACATATTGTCTGTGGCTGCTAGAGCACTATAATGGCAGAATTGAGTAATTGGGACATAGACTGGATGGCCTGTAAAGCCTAAATTATTTACTGTCTTTTCCTTTACAGAAGACATTTGCCACCGCTGGTCTAGACTAGAGGAACATTTAGTGCCTACTCAACCAGAAGTCTAAAGATAGACAGATTCAAGGTTGATTCACTGGTTCAATAATATAAGGAAATTATTATCCCTGCATATCTCTTCCTTATTTCTTATTGTTGCAAGATGGCTGCCACAGCTCCAACCATCATTCTACAGTGTTTAATGCAGGAAGAAAAGGCAAGAGATATGTGGCAGATGGCCATTTTCTCCTAAAGTGATTTTTTTCCTTTTATTAAGGAGCAAAAACTTCTAAGAAGTGCCCATCAGTGCCCTTAACTTTTCATTGGCCCAAACCATGAGACACTGAGAAATATTACTGCATAGAATACACAAGTGATGATAGTTCTCTTTCCCTAAGATCCAGTAGGTCATATTTCCAGTGTTTAACGGGTGAGGAGAGGAAAAGGAACACACAGAGGAGATATAGGAAGAGTAGTCCTTCAGCTACAAGAAGAAGTAGAAGTGAGAATTGTTGAGGAAGACAAGGAAGTGGAGAGTTAAAAGAAAGAGGAGCAACCAAGCAGAGATTCTATAAGATAAGGACAAAAAATGCCCACAATATTTGGCAATTGAGTGGCCGCTGCTGACTTTAGTCTTTGCCGCAGTCTTTTAGACTTTGAGAGCAGAAGTCAGACTGAAGTTGAAAGTAAGGAAGTCAAACAGTGTAAGAAAGGGGAAAAAAAAGACTGAATAAATATTAACCAGAAGAAAGATATGGGTTAAAGAAAGGGAATTTTAGGTTGAGAAATGACCTGAATATTTTTAAAGGACAAGGAGAAAGAGCCATTGAGATGAGAGAGTTGAGGATGCAAAGAAGAGACTGACTGCTGGAGTGAGATTCCAAAGGAGACGAGATGAGGTCAGAGGTGCAGAAGATAAGATTAGCCTGGGGCAGGAGGGATGCTTAATCTCTGGGGTTGGAGGAAAACAGGTGAAGCGATGTGTAGAAAGAAACAAAAGTACCAGTTTGGGTGCTTTCATATGCTAGTAACTGAATACTAATGAGAGGTATCTTTAGCAGGAATTTTTAAATCATACACAAGAAATCCAGAGGTAGTTACAGCGTTGATTAATTCAGCCACTAAATGTGGAAAGTTCTGGAATGGCTTCTCTATGATTCTCTTAGCTTTCTCCTCTTAGTTGCAAGATGCGTGCCACAGATTCAAGCCCCATGTCCTCTCATAACAATGTTCAAAGGTGGGCCGGGGTAAGAATTCTTATCTTTCCCTGTCTGTCTTTTTTTTCTTTTGTTCTTTTTATTTTAATGTTTCAAACCTATTAAAAATTTGCAATAATAATGCGAGGAACTCCCATATGCTCTTCATCTAGATTCAGCAATTGTTTACATTTTGCATCATTTGCTTTATAATTCTGTGTGTGTATAATTTTTTTCTGAATCATATCTAAGCATGTTGCCAGCCCGATGCTTTTTTTCACTCCCATATACTTCTATGTATTTCCTAAAAACAAGGATATTCTCTTACAGTCATAGTATAATATCAAAATGTGGAAAATTAACATTGATACAATATAATTATTTAATCCACAATCCATATTCAAATTTCTCCTTGGTTGTACCACTAATGTCCTATATAGCTACCTTTTCCCCTTGTCCAGGATCCAGGCTGGACTCACTTGTATTAAGTTGCCATGTATTTAGGCTCCTTTGGAATAGTTCCTTAGGTTACTTAGCTTCTTTGTCTTTCTTGTTTTAACATGTTTGAAGAGCACAGGCCAGTAATTTTGTAGACTGTCCCTCAATTTGGATCTTCCTGATATTTCCTCATGAATAGATTTAGGTCGCGCAGTTTGTGCAGGAATAACAGTGTGGTGTGGTATCCTTCACCATGCATGATATCAGGCTTCACATGATATCTATTTGTCCCAATATTGGTGATATTAACCTTGATTACTTAACAGTTTTCACCACTGTTAAATTATTTTTTCCCTTGGTAGTTCGTAAGCAATTTGTGGTGAGACACTTTGACAGTATGTAAATATCCTATACTTCATCAACCTTTCACCCATTAGTGTTATTATCCATTGATGATTTTTAAATTCCGTCATTCCTTCTACATTTATTAGTTGGCATTCTCCTGTAGGGAAGAACTCTCCCTTCACTTATATTCATTTATTTATTTATATCAGTATAGCCTTATGGATTCTTATTTTAGTCAATGAGATATAATCCATTATTATCATTATTTATTTTAATGCTTAAAGCATCTCAGATTTGGCCAATGGCAGTCCCTACAGTCTGGCTTCTGTGTTCTTTTAACACGTCCTCATTATTTTTGGAGCAGTTCCTTGTTTTTTGGCACAAGATATTTGGGGCTTATCTTGTTCTTTCCCTGACCCAGCCAGTCTTCAAATCAGCTATTACTCTACAGAGCTCCATTTTAGTGGAGCATGAAATTTAGACATGAAGGTTGGGACACTAAGTGCCACTCTTCTTCTGGGGTGTCATTGCCTCTAGGCCCTGTCAGTAACAGAGCTAACAAATAAGTCCTCCCCACCCCATTTACATATATATACACACATCTATTTTTGTATCATCTGTAGATAGATATAAAGCCATGAGTTTTTACTGATAACTCCAATTTCAGTCCATCAATAAAGAGTTCATTGTATTCTGCTGTCTTTCCGTAATTATTACTCACTTTTCTAAACCTGTCTCCCATTTGCCTCCACTTATTTAGTCATTTGCTCAAGCCTAGAATACACAGGCATTATTTTCAGATTTCCTAATCCATACAACTGTAATAGAAAACCTACTAACTAGAGTTTGACATTTGTTTACAGTTCTTTTTTGAGATAAGATTACATACAGTGAAATGCACAGATGATATGTTTAAATTTGATAAATTTTAATAAATGCTTATACCCATTTAATAACCACCTTAATCAAGACATAGAATATTTCTATTAACCCACAAAGTTTCTTCATTCTCCCAATCAGTTCCCACCCCACTCCCTGTAAGCAACCACTGTTCTGATTTTTATCTCAATAGATTTTGCCTGTTCTTGAACTTAATGTACATGGAATCCTATTATTATGTTCTCTATTGTGTCTGCTGTTTTCCCTCAACATGATGTTTTGCAGATTTATCCATATCCTGGGTGTATCAGTATTGCATTCCTATTTATTGCTGAGTAGTATTGATTGTGTGAATAGACCACAGTTTATTTGTTCATTTACTTTTTGATGGACAGTCAAGTTTTTTCCAGTTTTTGGCAATTAGGAATAAAGCTGTTATAAACATTCTTGTACAAGTCTTTTGTGTACATATATTTTACTTTCTTGTGGGTCAATACCTAGGAGGGGAGTTTTGGGGTCATAAGGTAGTTGTATATTTAACTTTATGTAGAACTGCTGAACAATTTTCCATTTACATTCCCCTTAGCAATATATGATAGATCTAGTTACTCCACATCCTTAACCAACAATCTTTTTAATTTTAACCATTCTAGTGGGGGCAAGTGATGTCAGTAAAATAGGGGCATAGGAATTTCTAATGCTCATTCCTCCCCCTCCCCCAACATCAGTTTGAACAACTATCCATGCACAAAAATACCTTCAAAGAGCCAAGGATTCTACTTGAGGGATTATAGCACCTGAGTGAAGCGCAGAAGTAAGAAAAGATGCATTGAGGAGGATCAGAAAGCTAGATTTACACTACTCCCATCACCCCTCCAATAAGCCCCAGGAGCCCAGCACAGAGAGAAACAGCCTCTTCACAGAAGAAGGAGAGTGAAGTGAGTGCCTGACTTCACCACAAACCCCAGAGCCAGCTGCCCCAGCACCAAGCTGACTTTCACAGTCCTAAGTGGCTTTCTGCTGGATCCCATAAATCCACGCCCCTGGCTCACCCCAGTGCCTGCTGGCTCCAGTGGCCTCAGGCATCCTCCGTGGCACCAGGCTCCTGGCAGTCTTCTTTGAATCCAAGCCCTAGGTTCACCCCAGGGCCTGACAGCTCCAGGGGCCCCAGGTGGCTCCTGTGGCTCCAGGTGGCCTCCTCTGTTCCAGACTCCCAGGAGGCCCTCATTAGCCAATGTCCTCAGCCCACCCAGGTTCTGGCTGGCTCCAGCAGCCCCAGGTAGCTTCTATAGCACGAAGCACCAGGTGGGCTCTCATGAACACAGGCCCCCAATCTGCCTTGGCACCTGCTGGCTCCCATGGCCTGAGGAGGCTCCTGTGGCCTCAGGCACCCAATCACTCCCCGTGAACCCAGGTGCCAAGTGAGCACCTATGAACCCAGGTTCCCAGGCAGGCCAAGCACAAGGCTAGTTACTGCAGTACCAGATTCTGATCTACCCCCGTACCAGGCTGGGTCCCATGGCCCCGGGCTCTCAAGTGCCCCAACATTAGGCCAGCCCACATGGTCCTAGCCTTGAGATTGGCTCGTACACACCCAGGCTCCTACCCTGCCCCAGTGCCAGACTGGCCCCTGCAGACGCAACCTCCAGGCTGGCCCCTAAGGCCGCTGGTTACAGGCTGACTCCTGTGGTCCCAGGCTCCAAGCTTACCCTAGTGCATATAAAATTACAAATTTCCCTCTAGGCGATCCCTTTTAGCTATATCTCATGAATTTTGCTAGGTTGTACTTTTACTATCATTTAATTTGAAATATTTTCTAATTCCCCTGGTGATTTTTCTTTTGACTCATGAGTTACTTAGAAATGTGTTTTTTTAAATTTCCAAATATTTCAGGCTTTTCTGGATACCATATTGTTACTGAGTACAAATTTGGTTCTGCTGTGGTTAGAATATATTATATTCAAGATTTCAACTCTGAAATTTATTGAAACTTAGACATATGGTGAAATAGTCTACTTTGAAAGATAAAATCAGCTGAGTAACTGACTGGTATGTAATCATCAGACAGACCAAGCTGTCAGAAAAATCGAGTTAAAGGAAAGTCATTCATCCATTCATTATGTATTTAGTAAGTATCTACTATTTACTCAGTCCTATTCAATATGCATAAATGAGCAAAAATTTCTGTTCTCATGGAATATGCAACTAATGGGAGGAGGAGAGACAATTAGCACAATAAGTAGACTAGTATATTAAAGGCTGGTTCTGCCACCAGTTTGGTGGGATTTTCAGTCCTTCTTGGAAGCTACTGTTTGTTTTTTTCTCTCAAATAGGGCCCTCCAGGTCACCCTTCTGACCTCAAGATACTTTCCACTCTCCAGTTCTCACCTCCTAGATAAATTAGAAGATAATTTCTCATGGTTTCCCCCAAAGACCTCCCTTTGTCCTTTGGATTTTAACTGAACTGTGAATATGTTGCTCAGTCTGCTTCATGGCTTCTATCACCCCCACCCCAAGAAGGACTGAGAATCCCACCAATTTGATGGCCAAGCTAGCTTCTGTCTATATCCACAGAGAGAAGTTCAAGTTCCTGTAGGGCAGAAGTGAGTGGCATCATGTAGGATGAGAGATATGTACTCCCTAAACTTGCCCACTTCCAATCTTATATTTTTATTCTTAAGTAGAAGCCCATCTTTAAAATGCCACCCTCACCTTATATAAAATGAAGGAAAGAGGGATGTCATGGTGGATTGGTACTCTCTGTACTCTTGGAATGTCCTCGTAGGAGTAGCTATGCAGGCTCCAGAAAGTGGGGCTAGCACAGAGTAAGAAGGGAAACCTAGAGGGCAGCGATGGTGACATCTGTTAGTGTTGCTCCTTCCTTCCTGGTGTTTGATGTTATGTACTGCTTCTGTGCTGTCTTCTCGGACATTTAAATTTCATCACAGCACTTGCTGCTCAGAAGCCTCCAGTGACTTCCCGTCTCACTCAAGAGTAAAAGCCAAAGTCCTTACATTCACTTATTAGGCCTCTTATTTCTTACCACTCTCCTTCTCACTCATTTTGATTCAGCCATACTGACTTCCTTGATAAACCTCAAACCCACTCTTGTACTTGCCATTTCTTTTCTCTGGAATATTATTCCTATGTATCTGCAGCCTTGCTTCCTTACCTACTCCGTCTTTGCATAGGATTCACCCTCTCAGTGATACTTGCCTTGACCACCTTATTTAAAATCGCTACCCTCATCCACCGCCCCCCCCCCCATATTGTACCTACTCCTCCTGTTTGTGAAATAAAGCATCTTATAATATGTGGTTTATTAATTTTATTTTTATCACTGCACCCACTAGAAAGTAAGCTCTATGAACACAGGGATGGTTCTGTGTCATTTATGACTTTATGCCAGGCACCTGGTGCTTGGCACACAGTAGGAGTTGGACAAATATTTACTGAATGAATCTTGACCTCTGTGTTTTGAATTTTTTCTCCATTAAAACTCAGATTTTGGGGGAAATTTTTCTCAGATAAAAACTCAGCTTTTATCATACACAAAATATAATTATTCTATGTATTCTTTTTTTTTTTTCCTAAATGTTTGTCAAAACACAGTATTGGGGGCCAGCCCGGTGGTGCAGTGGTTAAGTTCACACGTTCTACTTTGGCGGACCAGGGGTTTGTTGGTTCGGATCCCAGGTGCAGACCTAAGCACTGCTTGTCAAGCAATGCTGTGGCAAGCATCCCACGTAAAATAGAAGAAAATTGGCAAGAATGTTAGCTCAGAGCCAGTCTTCCTCAGCAAAAAAAGGAAGGAAGGTTGGCAGCAGATGTTAGCTCAGGGCTAATCTTCCTCAAAAAAAATCCCAAAAAACGTCAGTGTTGGCAGATGCATTAGAATTCATCTGAAGCATAAATACTCAACCCAATCAAAGCCAGTGAACCCTTTTTATAATAAATATTTCATAATGCTTCCTTTACCTTCTTGAAATTTCATAGATAATTAAAACTATATACACACTTCATTTTAAAAATCAATATAATGCTCTAATTGTAACATGAAGAAAAAACAAAAGGAGAGCAATTTATATAAAATAATATGTATGTCAACTTGTAAATGCTCAGGCATGACTGCCCTGGACTACATAATGAAGGTGCCAAATGCTTGCACCTAAAAATGATGAACAAGCTTGGCTTTAAGACAAGGAAGACAATATTGAATTGAATATCATCTAGAATTTTAAAAAATATTTTATGTATTCAAATAAGGGCTAAATAAGTATATTAATGTATATGTAGAATATCCATGAATGTACAGTTACAAATGTAGACCAAGGACAAGTGTCTCGTCCTCTTGTATCGACAACTCAAATACCATGAGTGGCATTGTATCAATGAACAACTTTTGGCAAATATCTGAACAAAACAAAGTCCTCTTTTATCTTGATTCATCTGGCAGCTGCATCTTTGGAAAATTCAGACGTTGTTAAAATCACACAAAAAGTACTGCATGTTTATTAAAAAAATGGACTTAGGTTTATATTCAGATAATTAAAAACTAATTTTTCACGTATACGAATGCACAATTTTTTACTGTGTGGGACTGTCGAGCAGTACATTGCAGAATATCTGGCATATCTGGTCTCTGCTCACTAAATTCCATTATATCTTTTAATCATAGTGACAACTAAGAACTGCTCAACCCATTCCAGAATGCCTTCTGGGGTATTATACTGTCCCTGTTGAGAACAACAGATCTAACCCTATCACCTTTTCAATGACTGAGTCCTTTTTCTAACATCCTACCAAATAACCATCCAGGCTATGCTCGAACACATCAAGGGAGGGGGATTTTCTGCTTTTCAAGAGAGCCTCACCCAGTGTCGGACTATTTTGACAAACTTTCCCCTTATAAACAGACCAAGTTTATTTCTAGTTATCCATCCTTTAATGTGTATAAGCAAATGTATTAAGTTTCTTGAGGGCACACAGACGGTATTTGATACTTCTTTATCCTGGCAAAATTCTTAGCATAGAGCAGGTATCCAAAATATACTTGATTGACTTCAGGCACTCAGAGCCTTAAGCTCCACTAACCACTTGCCCTCATTCTGTTCATTCTCCTAAAACGTCTGGCGAACAAGTATTTGTCTGTTTTTTAGGAATCCGTGACTTTTTGAGCTGTGGCTGTGTGTTTTAGTCAGGAAGAGTGGTGGTGCCTGGACTCCATTCAGAGGGATTTATACAGAGATGTGATGCTGGAGAACTACAGAAATCTGGTCTCCGCTGGAAATCACAGTTTTCCCTTGAGATTCAGCATTGATCCAGTAGAGCAAATTGGGCTGTTAATAGCTGTGTGGAAAGGGCTTACTTAAGCGGTGATTTGGGGTCATGCATCACAAACTGCACATGTTCCTTAGGTTTAGCAA